GAGCAAAGTCGCACTGGCCTCGGGAGCTCAGGGGCAGAGCGTGACATGGGACAGCCCCCACCGGAGGAGAAAGGCGGGGAGGCAGCAGGGACCTGGGACTCACCACCAGGAATTCGCCTCCGCCAGGAGCTGGGTGCAGCTGCAGAGCAGAGCGGCGACCAGCAGCAGCCGAGTCCCAGCCATGGTGCGCTTTTCCCGGCTCCGGCGCCCTTGCAAGAGCCCTTGAACCGACAGTCTCCAAGACAGGGCGTCCTGTAAAACCAGGAGAAAGCCCAGAGGGGGCCTGAGTCCAACGGGCGCGCGGGGCTCACATCAGGGTCCTGCTGGGGGGGGGAGCGGGGGAGCCGAGCGCCCCCCTCCCACTTCTCTCTGCGCCAAAGCTCTCCGCGCGGGACCCCTCGCGCGCAGCCAGCCCTGCCCGCAGACCCCTCCCCCGCCCGGCTCCCTGCCCCAGTGACCGGCCCGCGGCACGCAGTGACCTGCAGGGCTTTTATGAGGGTCCATCTGCCTTTGATTGGTCCGCACGCCGGGGTCCCTGGGAATGCACGGCACTTCCAGGCGAGTGACACTCTAGGGAGGGGGGGAGGAGGAGGCAGAGCCTGCAAAGGGAAGGACGGGAAGGGACAGCGGGAGAGGGACTGCACTGGGGAGAAGAAAGGGAGGAGAGAAAAGAAAAAGGCGAGAAAAGCAGCAGGCGCCCCTCATTTTTGCTTATATCGCACCCCCACAGCCGCACCCCGTCTTTATGGCGCAACAGGGTGCAGTCCAGCCCCCCGCACTTAGCCAGCCGCCTGCAGATCTGTGCTGGGGCAGGGCTCCGCAGCCTTTCCAAACCCAAGAGCCAAACTGCATCAAAATTCCAAACAAGGGGGCAACAAAGAGCCAGTACAAGAAAGATCAATTGCTTGAGTGAAAATATACAACTTAGTAGACATGATGATTAATAGTAGCATAAATGAAACATTGTCCTCACAGATATTACTTAATGAGACTTCTGCTTCTGGGGGTGCAGTTTGTGTGTGGGGTACAGGAGGCAGGATTGGGTGAATGAGGGGTTCAGGGCAGGGTGCTGGGGAGTATGGGGGGTGCAGAAGGCAAGGCAGGGTGCTGGGGGTGGAAAGTAAAGTATGTGGGGGGGAGGATGCTGGGCTGGAATACCTTACAAGGTAGGGGCTGGGCTGCTGCACCAGGGCAGCAGTGACTGGATGAGGGGCTGGACCAGCATTGCTGCAGCTGGATCATGGTCTCCCCTCCTACCCATGCTGCAGCAGGGTGGGGGCACAGGGAGCGCTGCCTGTGGCCACATGAGAGCTGGACCACGGGGCCTGCCCCAGAATTGGGGCTAGGGACAGGACACTGTGGCCAAATGGGGGCTGGGCCCCAAATGAGGCCTTGTTGGCCAGGCTGCCACAGCCAGAGCCCAAGCCAGACCACCACGGCTGGGTTGTTGCAGCAGTCGCGGGGCCGCCGGACCTGGGCCGTAGGGTCTGTCCCAACAGTGTGGTGGCTGGGGACAGACCATGGTGGTGAGATGGGGTTGCAGCTCAGCCATCGTGGCCAGATAGAGGCATCTGCCACCAGCAGCCCCTCTCACTATCCTGGCTGAGAGCACGCACATGTCCCCTATAGCTCGCCCTCAGCTGGTCCTTTAAAGGAGCAGAGTGCCCCAGGGCCCAGCTCTTCCGCAGCGCAGCTGGTTTTTACTGGGGCGCACTGCCTCACTTTCACCTCTGGTTAAAGGTGAAATAGACAAAAAAAGACCATCTTCACATGAGTAATTATTCATTTTTAAAGTTTTGAAGTAATTTTTCATTTTAATGTAGGAAGCTGCATGTATTTTGGGAAAGACAGAAGAGCCATATTTGGTTCTTTACTGAGCTACATTTGGCTTGAGAGCCATAGGTTGCTGAGCCCTGTGTGGAGGGAGCCTGCAAAGCAAAGGGCAAGAGTCACCAACAGGGATGACGCCGGTGGGACGGAGTGTGAATCATGCAGTTCCCCCTTCCTCTTCCCTGCCTCAAGTAAGGCCCCTACATGGGTCCCTTCTCAGCTCCAACAGACGGTGCTGGGGGTTCTTATGGCCCCAAAGGGAAAGACCTGGCCTGAGGCCTTTTTGCAGTCACAGAGGCATCGAAGGGACACGGGAGTCACTGGGGAAAGGGTCAGATCCCAGCCTATAAAGGAGACAGATGTTGATCAAACTTGCTCCAGAAGTGGATGGGACAGAGCTCAATCTGACAGTGGGAACCTGGATCCCTTCCCCCAACCCAGGCTTGCTGACTTTCAGTGTGAGGCTCTGCAGAGAGGGTCAGGGTGGACAGGCCAGCAACTAAGGGGCACCCATACCTATGCCCCCCCCTTGTCCCAGGATCTCTGTCCCCTTGATGTTAATATTCTCCATCAATAACAACCCCATACAGTGACACCCCCTGGTAAATGTAGTGTGCACCAGCCATACAGAAATGCGTCACGGGAGGCAATACCCCGGAACCTATGCACCCAACCGTATCTTCATGTTACGTGCCCTTCCTCCACCCCACACACACATCGAATCTGCATGGGGATTCAGAGACAACTACTCCTCATGGCATTTCTTCCTCCGGTCTCTGTTTGCTAGGGGAGGGAGCACAGGCAGGTGTGTGGGGTTGGCAGGGGGGGAGATCAAAGGCAGAAACTCGCTCCTTTGCCTTTGTCATGCAGAGCTGCTTCGGAAATGATCTGGCCTCGACAGCAGCAAATGAACAGACCCCCCCTCCAGAAAATAGCCCTCCCCTTCAAAAGGACCCCATATAATACCCCAATCCCGTTCCCCCAGGGCAAGAGGTCTGTGAATGCACTGGCTGGAACAGCTAGAGATGGAGCAGAGATAGGGCTGGCACCAGAGCCTAATGACTTTATAGGGGGAGGAGGGATGCCGGTCCAGAGAAGAGCTGGGAGAGAAAAGCTTCAAAGGCTCCTCTTGTTCAAACATCCCTCACCATTCCCTGCTCAACCCCACCAGGCAGCTCTGCCACAGGAATATCCGGACAGAGCCTCACGTGCTCCCAGCTCCACTCACTCCCCAGGTAGCCAAGGCAAACACCCCCTCCCATCTTCATCCTGTCCTGTCAGCACATTGGCCCTGCTTGCTGCTCTAATGGCCCTCTACTCATCCCCCCCCCAAACACGCTACCAGACCTGCTAATAAATCCTTGTGCCACCCCGCCAGGCAATCTAGTCACACCGCTCCAGATGGCCTCTGCCTCATTGCCCACACAGCCCTGTCTGGACCCATGCCTAGACCACCCCTCCTCCATTCACTTCTCTCTACCTTCCCAGCTTCAATGGAGGACACCCACATATAGATGCCTTCGCCTCCAACCACGTCCTCCTCTTCCGGCCTGCCAGAGGAACCTGGGTGGCATGGTTCTGCTGGAGTGAGTTTGAAAGGTCAGCCTGCTGCTCCCCTCCCGTGACTGTCAAGTTATGCCAAAAACATGTACATTCCGACTTCTGCAATGTACCTGCCTTTCATACAGCCTCATAAACACCAGCAGGGAACATTAATCACCAGACTCAGCAGCTCGTTCCACCCAAGAGGTTTGGGGTCTTTTTTTTAACCCAAATTCCTATGGCCTGCTATGGTGAAGTTGCTGTGTTTGTTTGTACCAGGCTTCTCTTCCTCCACAGTCCAGATGTGCTCTACCTGCAGCTGGTGACCTGTCTCACCTGGCAGGCAGATGTGAGCGCCAGAATTCGCTTGAGGACAAAAAGGCCCTGTTTGACCCAGATCTCAATGAGAGGCAAGCCATGCTGCCCAGGCACAGCGGGATCCATGTCTGAAGAAAACAGGACTACATTATTCACATCTCATACCTCTTCCCTCCTCCTGCTTGTGTGTGTTGGAATGGGAGTGGGGGTGTTTTTCATAGTGAGGGCAGAATGGACAGTTTCTCTTTGGCAGTCTGGGGAGGAAGGAAGTTGTATGGGGGTGGATGGTATTTCCATGACAAACAATGAATCTGCATAGGGATGGTGTGACGTCAACCCAAGGTTTTGAGATAGCCGAAGATATAAGAACTCCATTTCCTTAGTGGAGTAGAGACTGCCCGTTATAAGTGATGGGTCCCTCTTAATAACAGAGACAGAAAAGGGGGGGGCTGATTTGTACCATCCAGTAGTAAATAATCGACACCTATTGAGAAAGGAGCGCCTTGCATGTGGAATAGTGGTAGTGAGAAAGGAGTAACTGTCAGTTAACCCATAGCCAACACTCCCTGGAGAGCCCTGTGCTGGAAGAATCTGGTAATGGAGTAAGCTGCCAGCCATCCTCTTGATTCTTCCTGCTAAGAATATGGGAATGGGGAAATATGAACCTCTATGAATAAGCGTAGGTATCTAGAACCATAGATATCCAAGGCACAATTGTGGAGCAACTTACCAAAGGCTTTATCTGTGACTTTGGACCAATGGTTTAATGTTTTGCACAGTAGAACTGTGAGGCTTAAACTCATTAAAGATTGTAAAGTCTTTAAGAACCTTGAATAATAGGTGCTCTACACTTACAAAATATTCATTATTAATTAAATAATTGTTAATTATGAAAGGTTGAACAAAGCTGATGATTACTTATCACAGTGAACTACGCAGCAATTTGCCAGAAGCATCTCAATGGGTAGCAGTTAACAGCAGTCACCTCATTTTGAAGCAAAAAGAGCATAGACATTGCCATATTGGATCAGATCACTGATCCATAGTTCAATACCTTGCCATCAACACTGAACAAAAAAAATGCTTCAGAGAAAGGTGAAAGAAATCTTGCAGCACGATTCAAGGTTGATTCTGCTGCTAATGACTGTTATTGCAGAGTGGTCATAATCTCCGTGGAGATTAAAATGTGAATTGTGAAAGTGATCCCCCTTTCAGATCCCACAGATAACGTCTTTAGTGATTGTGTTTATGGCCTCAACTAAAGTGCTAATAGCAAGTAAGGTTTTGTTGAATAGCTCAGCTTAGGCATTAGGCAAGCAGCTCCTAAACTTTGGCGTGCAGAGCAATTGGGTGGTACTCTGCAAAGAGCTGTTAGGTCACATTGTGCTATTTGACTTCTTTGTTGCCATCTGCTTCTAAAGATATCCCCAGGGTCTTTTAAGAATCTTGTGCTATATTTTTTAAACCTGCATATCTAAAGCTGGCCTCATATTAATATTTAGGCACTCTGATAACTGCCTTGATTTTTCAGAGGACCCAAATATGAATTGACTTAATTTTAGGTATTCTAATTTGAACACTGTAACTTTATTTCATTCAATACAATCCATCAAAGAGTCATCGCTGCTTTCCTATTATTGATGTATTTGCATGAGGGACATTGCATGATGATAACTAGGACTGTCCATCAAACAATCTGCTGAGATTTGACACATACTATGAAAAAGTTGAACA